ACAAAGTGTGGGATGTCCAAATCTATTCGTAAGTTTGAAACCTGTGTTCACTCTGTCTCGTATGTTTGTTAAGTACGTATCAAATAGTGTCAAAGACATAAACGAGAGAGTGTGTGTGTGTGTGTGTGTGTGTGTGTGTGTGTGTGTGTGTGTGTGTGCGCGCGCGCGCTCAAGCATGTACATGTGTTTTCTTGCGCGTGTGCATGTGACCTGTCCGGCGGGTGTCGACGATGACAAGCCATATAATATAAGAGGCCCAACAAGGACACACATTAGACAAAGACCAGAGTAGTGAGGGGTGATATCAGCAATATCGAACTCGATACGATATCGATATTTTTTACAAGAAAATAAGTATTATCGATAAATTGAAATGTTGAAATTCGACATCAAAGATATCGATATATCAATAATTATCAACAAAGAGTCTACATAACAAGAGGGGCCACTCCTCTCTTTGAGCCTATTAAAAAAGTGTCCTCAAAATTCGGTGGCGCCCTCTTCGCAAATGCACACCCTTTGCGTTGCGAACAGAGTTACCCTACTTGTGTTTTAAAAAATCAAAGTGAAACTAACAAGTTTTTGAATAAATAAGGATTCAAATTTCGGAAGAACGTTTTTTAAAAAAATGGTTACGCTGAAAAAAAAACCTCTTCAGGAGGAAGGGGTGATTGTTTTCTTCGTTTAATTTGACTTTAAAATGAAAGGCGAGAGATCACTGAAAATATTTTTTAAACAACTAAAACTCCGTACTGAACAAACCCGAACTGCTGGTGAACAGCAGTCGATCTGCGCACGCAAGGAGGTGCTATTCCTATTCTTCTGGAAAATCGAAAGAGAGCTTCAAAACAGACTGCAGCGCCATCTGAAGAAAAGAGCAGACTTCCGGCGGACACTTTTTTGGATGAGTGGACCCAGAGACACTAAAATATAGAGACAGGAAACGAGGCCTCGCGCTCCGTGACAACAGTGCATTTGCGAACGTGACCGCTGAGACGCGAGCTAAAAATAACCAGGCGCGGTATCGACAGCGAAGCGCGTCGCGTCTAGCCTAGGCCTAGGCCTAGCTTTCTGCGGCTTAGGCCTAGCGCAATCAGAGAACTGGCCAAGGTTGCATATTTGTAAACAATGCCTCTACAATCTATACTCTTCTGGCCTACAGAAAAATTTACACCTGTGGAAGAAAATAGGACAACAGATTTAAAAATTGAATTCTAGATCTAGGCCTAGTTA